GAAGCAATAAAGACTGATTTTGGGGGGAAAAAATCAGTCTGTTGCTTTTGACTTCTCAAAGGAGGAACCTCAGCTTGCGACAGCAACAGACTGGAGTTCCATAGCTAATGCGAAAAGGGTCTTGGTAGGTTGAAAAACGTTATATAGAATATATGTCTGTATATATAGAAAAAACTGGAAAAGAAACTTGTCCCAAGTGATTGGAGAATGGAAGCATAGCTGTTAGAACTGAGTGCTTTGGCAAGAAGAATGCAAAGTTTTTTTAAATTGTGTGAATAGGAACAGCTATGCAATCTCCATTCTGACCAAGCCAAGCCCTTCTCCACATAATTAACCAATGTGTGTTCCTCTTTTTTCCTTCTAGCCAGAGTGGCCACCCCTTCTTCCTCTACCTCGCCCTGTCTCATATGCATGTGCCTTTGGTTTTGTCTGATGCACAATGGAATATGACTTGGCAAGATCCATATGGAGCAAACCTGAGGGAGATGGATGTCCTGGTAGGACAGATAAAGGACAAGGTTGACAGCACTGCAAAGGAGAATACATTACTCTTGTTCACAGGTGAAGCAGTAAAACTCATACACTGTAACAAAGATTGCTTATTTTCCTGTGCAGCTTTCCCAGCAGTCAAAGGTTCAGCGTAGCTGGAACAAAATCTTTACAGCTAGGAATTCAGGGTGCGGGTTGGCAGCTGGAGCTGACATTGCTTTGACTGCCAAAGCTCCCACAAGTCACTTAGAATGGTCCATGTAAGGAAGTTGCATTGCATTGTTCCAGCCTGATTTAAGAGATGCAGGCACTAAATCAGAGGTTGAGGAGAAGACCCGCATCCCTGGGAAAGACTCTTGGGAGTAGCCTTTAACCCCCATCCTTTAACTGGAAATCTCATGCTCGTAGGAACTGATCTCATGCTCACAGGAACTGTTCATGGTCTCATACCCTTAGAAGGCAGGGGAAAGACTCCTGGAATGATGGTTTTTTCCAGAATCCTAAATTCCAACTTTTTTCTCCCAGAAGAAGTTGAGTAATTCAGAGTTAATCTAAAGGGAATGTTGGAAAACACACCCATCTCTAGATGTCTGCTTTTTATAAACAGTGCTGCTTTGTATTTCACTTTAGAAATGATATTTAAACTGGTGGGTCTATGTCAGCATTCCCCAACTCCAGCCTTCCAGGTCAACCCAAGCCAGCTCCCATCAAACTCAGCCAATATGGCCAATGATGTGGAATGCTGAATGTGGTAATCCAAAGTATCTGGAAGACAGACTGGGGAAGACTGGCCTACATAAGTCAGTTGAACAGAAGTTCCTGTCACTGAGGTTCTGTTTGATTAACTGATTGAAACATTGTCTCCTGTTTTGCCACTGTGTATTATCCTCCTATGTTTAATCTATATTAATGTGTGAAATCAGTTTTCTGCTCTTCATGAGGTTGCTAGTGGTCTCCCATCCAGGCGATTGGCCAGGTCTATAGGTGCTTATCTTTACCAGTGTTTTTGCACCAGGTAGTCCAAGATCATTCACTGTATCCTACACAAAACTTTTTGTTGAATAAGGTTTCCCTGTCCCCTCTTTTCTCCTATTACAGAGACTTGAAAAGGAAAATCAACTTGAGATTGTGGAGATAACTTTAAACCTTTTTTTTCATAAGACAGAATATAGAGCTGCTATATTAAATCTGTAGTTACCTTTTGCTGATGGCTTAACATGCTTAATTCTTCTGCCAAGCATCTGCTTACTTGAATCATGTAATAGCAGAACTGTAGATGAGTTTCAGTCAATTAGCAAATAATGCTTCTGGGTGGCCTTAGATTCTGTTTGGGAAAACCTTTTACAATATATGTAATTCAAATGGCATCAAGGGTCTCCCTTCAGCAAAGCTAGGTTTCTTACTTTTTAGAATACAGAATACTTTGTTATTGTTGTTCATTGCGAAGTCGCATCCAACCCATCAGGACCCCATGGACAACATTCCTCTAGGCCTTCCTGTCCTCCACCATCCCTCGGAGTCCACTCAAGCTCACACCGACAGATTCAGTGACTCCATCTAGCCACCTCATTCTCTGCCATCCCCTTCTTCTTTTGCCGTCAATTATTCCCAGCATTAGGCTCCTCTCCAGGGAGTCCTTTCTTCTCATTAGGTGGCCAAAGGATTTGAGTTTCATCTTCAGTATCTGGCCTTCTAAAGAGCAGTCAGGGTTGATCTCCTCTAGGACTGACCGGTTTGATTGCCTTGCAATCCAAGGGACTCGCAGGAGTCTTCACCAGCACCACAATTCAAAGGCCTCAATTCTTTGGCGCTCAGCCTTCCTTATGGTCCAACTTTCACAACCATACATTGTAAACAGAATACTAGCTGCATGTATATTATGGAGAAGAATGTGACATGCTTGGATAAGTCCAGGCTGCCTCTTTTTCATAGGTTCATTGCAATTATCAGCATTCCATTCTGGAAACAATCTAAAACAGTGGAATTTGGGAACTGGCTCCCTTCAGGGATAAATTTTGTCCCCTGATTAAAGTACAAATTCTTGTTAAAGATGAACAAAAGTTCCACTTCTAATGAAGTCATCCCCCTCCCACCGAATGACAGCAACTAATGTGTGGCTCATTAAAATCTAAGGCAAACTATTCTTTCTTACTGTTCTGTTTCCTGCCTGAGTCACTAGAGTGGAAGGCTAGCTAGACTTCCTTCAGCTTGAGAAAATGTGTAACTTTAATTTGGAGACACCAGTTTCCACAGGGTGGAGAAGGTAGTGACTCAGATCCCTTTGAAGACTCTGGACAGTCACACTTATGCTCAGGCCTGATTATACCCTCCTGGAAAACCAAACATGCTTGCAGAAGCATTTGGTTCTCCCATTGACCAGGCCTTGTTATGCCTTGATCTTCACAGGACGATGGTCCCTACCTTCCATTCAGTTTCTCTGTGTCCAGGAAGCTGTAGTCAAAGAGGAGGATCTCTCTCGTATTAGCCTAAATTAACAGGGAAGCATTTAGGTGCTTTCATACTATAATTAGCATACTAGGTAGTACACATTCTCTCTCTTAAGTTACCACAGTAGCATGGAAATTTCTACAGTTAATGTTTTTCTGGTCCTTTTCTTTAGAATTGCCAATGTAGAATCTGCTCATTAATGTCCAACCTTTTCTGCATTGTTGATGTGTGAAATTTTCAGGCCACATTTGTGATGGAAACTTTGTGATAAAGTCTGGTTGCATTACCAGTGTGAAAAGGCGAGGAATTAGTAAAGCTTTTCAGGTGTACTACATCTTTAATTAAAAGTTTGGGGGTTTTGCAGTTGCTACCCCATTTCATTATTTGTTGTTAACTGTGATCAGGAATTAGCAATGAATGGACTCTAAATTGTCTTGGTGGAATAGTCATCCTTAATTGCTCTAAGTGCCTCATCTTGGGCAAGAGGGAGTTAGTTACCCCACCCCATTTTTGTGTATCATGAATTAGGCCAATCCCTCATGACAAAAGGAATCCCCTCCCTCTTGAAGCAACATTTTCAGGGTGGATACCGTACTGCCTTTCTCCTTTGTTTTTGCACCTTGGTATAAACCATTTTGGAACAGATCATCAACTCTCCATATTCATTTATTGGAAGTAGCTTTACAAACTGTGGCCTGGTTCTCATTTTATGACAAACTTGAGTGTGGGTTGCCATGTAAACCCTTTGGTTTATTTTAACAGTGGGTTATTAAGCATAAGCTAAGGAAGAGAAGCCATGCTTTGTTTCTGGGTGTGAAGTCTGGTTTGTTAGTGTCTAACATCCCATAGTTAAGCTATAGCACCGGGTTCACTTGTGACAACAACCCACAATTCAACAACGCCTATTGTTCAACCTGTGTTCTGGGTTGTTACATTCAAACCAGGTCATTGGTGACCTTTTCAAAGAATCGGGGACTCTGCTCTGTCTTCCTTAACCATTGTCATTACTAGCCTTCTTTGGAATAAAATATACATTCCTGTTCTGTTTTTCAACAAGATGTTCTCTTTCCTCCTAGGAGACAATGGCCCTTGGTCTGAGAAGTGTGTGTACGCGGGAAGTGTTGGTCCATACACTGGGATGTGGCAAAGAAAAAGAGGTAACTTATTTGTTGTGTAAGGGCAGTTTGTTTGTAAGGCATGTGTTGTAGATACTATCTTTTTTCCAAATTCAGACAAAAACTTGAAAGTTGAGCTGTGTTCTTTAGGTCTGATTGTTCCTTATTCATGGACTCTAGCCCTGTTGCTGTGAAAGACTTAGATGCGTGCCACACATTTTGCTTGCGGCCCTCCAATAATGTAACTTGTACATGTTGATCCTTTCTTACTGTCCTTTCATTCTATCCTTTTAACTGTCATTGATCCAATTTAAATGGTCTCCTCTAAGTTTCCTACCCTCCATCTGCATCCTTGCAGAGTGTTTCTCCTCCAGCAATAGCAGGGAGAGGATTTGGAGAAAGCTAATGTGTCATGCTCTCATTCACCTTCTCAGATATTTTCAGGCAGTAAGACATTATGTTCCTCCTTTATGTACCCATTCTGCAGTCTTTTGCACTTCAGACACAGCCTAAGATATTCTGTGGTGAATTGCAAAATGCAAGCATGGTATGCATACCTTTTTCAGGAGAAAAAAATCCTTAATCCAAGGACCTGGAATTATTTTGCTTTGAGGAAATAGTCACCATGGGGGTCTTTATATTTGTTTGAACCCTCAAGTTTCAAATTTGCTTATAGTAAAATGAATACTTGGTCCGTGGACAATTTCTACCTTAAATTTATAAGCAGTACCACTACACTTTCAGCAGAGATCCTTCTGCTCAATAGTGCTAGCTAAACTCCTAGTGCTAATTTGGATGCAATTGTCAAAGTTCACATTCTAATGGACAGTGCATCCTACTTTTTAGCACTTCAAAAAGACATATGTTCACAGGGGGAGACTGATATTACCAGTTAGTAGGTCACCACACAGAGACACTGACATCTAGTTCTACCCCATGGTGGTGGTGTCTTAATGGAAAGTGCTTCTACTCACACAAGTCAAGGTACCTAGATTTGCTGATTCCCCACCCTATTCCAGCTGTTCATGCCATGTCTACCTTTGTTTCTGAAGGTCCCCCAGTCCACAGGAGCGGTTTTTCTGGGGCATTCACAGATACTGGCAAGTTGCACAAATGGAAACATTTTCCAATAAGGCAAAGTTCCCACCAGATGCTTCTCTCTCTCTCTCTCCCTCCTCTCCTTCATCAGAGTTTAGAATTGTGAGATAGATAATTTGTAAGTGGCATGACTTTTTCTTTGTGGTTCAGTGCTTATGGCTGTTACTGGGGGGAAATTCTGTCTGTACATTAAGCAAGGAATTACCTATTTTTAAAAGAAAAGGAAGAGGTGGGGGTCTTCAAGGGGATTGTGAGAGGTTTTGCACACTGGGTTGCTTCTCTGGAACCTGCAGGATGCTGCAAATTTGCACTCTTTCTCCCATAAAGAAAAGGCAATCCAAGAATTATTTATTTTATTTATTTTTATTGAAACTTTTTCTATGCCATCCATTACTGAAAAAAGTCTCTGGATAGCTTACAAGGAAGGAAACCAAGAAGAAAACCATAACAACAACACGCAGCACATTGCATCTAAAATAGTAATAAAAACAGGATAAAACCAATTGTTAAACTACTGGGAGAATAAAAAGGTCTTCACCTGATGCCAGAAAAAATAGAGCGACAGCACCAGGCGATCCTCCCTGTGGAGCATATTCCACAGTTGGGGTGCTACCGCTGAAAAGACCCTTCTCCAAGTAACTACCCTCCTAATTTCCTTCAGAGAGGGTTCCCAGAGAAGGGCCTCTGCCTCTGGGGGTGGGCCTGCACAATAATGGAATGTGTGTAGATGTAGACTCACTTTTCTATGGAATCACTGAAAAGAGGACGTTAAAAGATACACATGTGTCCTAAGCAGAGTTTGTAAATACTGCTGTGGTGCAAACTGTCTACCTGCAGTTCTGACAGAAACTAAACCTGGAGATTTAAACTAGGGATTAGTAGGGATTTACCCCCAAATGGTTTTGTTTATTTTATTTATAAATACTGTTTTGTTAAAGTTTCCAAAAAAGCTACCTTTGTTTTTCATTTTTTAAAAAAACTCTCATTACAAAGACCAAATCAGAGCTGCATTTAGGTTTCTCTCTTTCAGTTCAGCTGGAAGAGCATTGGGCAGTGGTATTTATGCTGAGGTAGGCAATGAGAAGGAGCTTTTTCCTGGTTATTCTTCTGTTTATACTTGGCATATGTATGCATGTGTCATATTTCCTCAATTACTGTTTGGGAATAGAAGCAGCAGCTATTTCCACATCTGCTTCCTCTGTGTTTCTAAATATAGAAAGGAATGGCCAGACATGTACAATAAAAAGCTCTGCAAAACTAATAGTTTCAGGACATGCAGTCTTTGTTTTTAAAAATCCTCCCACAATTTTAAGTGATCAACTTTGGTCATATGATGCAACTATTTAGGAAACTTAGCCATTTCCTAAATAGATACCTTCCTATCATTTTTTTCTAGTTTATATAAAGTAAAATGTTTTTTTGTAGCAAGCATAGAGATAGCCAGTGGTTATGGTGGCTTTAAAAATAGATTGCACAAATTCATGGGTGGCGATTACCGTAATGGCTCTTTGTCACCTCCCAATTCAGAGGACCCGTGCTATTTTAATACCAATTGCTAGGGCTAAGGAGCAACAATCAGGGACAGCTGTTGCCTTCATGCCCTGCTTCCCAGAGCCATGTGGTTGGCTACTGTTTGGAAACAGGATTTTGCAGACCCTGAGGTCACCAGGACTCTTGTTATGTTCCTACAACCGGTTTTGGGAGTTTTCAGTCCACCTGTAATAATCAGGGACGTTTTAACAGGAGGTGATACAGATTGATTGCTTACTTGGATGTGTGTCTGAATCTATACTATACTGTATTAAAGATTGTTGTGGCGGCGCCAGGCAGCAGTGGTGATTTCATTTATTTAATTTTTACACTGCCCATTAGCAGAAGCTCTCTAGGTGGCACACGACCATTTCTTGAATACAGTGAAAAGAGATACAGTAAAAAACACAGATACAAGCACGGTATAAAATGTCAGTATACAAACTTAAAGGAGGCTAAATTTTGAATGTACAAAATTTAAAACAATATAAACATTTAGAACAGAAAGTAGACCTAATTAAAACAGATGATATAACCATCATGGGCCATTAAATTCCTAGGAATAAAGGACAGTTTTAACCTGACACTAAAAAGATGATAATGTTGGTGCCAGGCGGCCCTCAGTGAGGAGATTGTTCCATAACTGAGTGGCAACCAATGAGAAGGCCCTCCTTCTTGTTGTCTTTTTCTAGGCCTCCCTCAGAGTTGACAATCGCAGGAAAGCCCCAGATCCAGATTATAGAGGCTGGGTAGATTGAGGTTGGGAGATGTTAAAGAGGAGGGTATTAGAACCATTATTTATTGCTCTGTGCTAGATGTTACAGTAAAACCTTGGATTGCAAGCATAAATCGTTCGGGAAACATGATTGTAATTCAAATCACTTGTATATCAAAGTGAATTTCCCCATAAGGTTCAATGTAAATAAGGTTAATCCGTTCTGTAACTTTTTTTTTTAATCACAAAATTTGAAGCGGGTGGGCTCGGCGGGAGAGACGATACTGTACTCACACCTGCAGCGCGAGAGAGGTACCCGCACTCAGTTCTGACGTGACGCTCGGCAGGCAAAGCGCATGTAATACTCGTACTGCAAGACATCGCTCATTTATCAAATTAAAATTTAGAAAAACTTTTTGCTCATCTTGCAAAACATTCGCAGACCAAGTTACTCGCAATGCAAGATTTTACTGTATTTACTATTAATAAATGCATTTTTATATTTTAAAATTTGTGAGACATACTCTTATCTTAAGAGATTCTAAGTTTGCTGTAACTCATATCACATGCCACGAAGGGAAGTATGTCAGAGGGAGAAGATTACTGCTCCTATAAATTAGCTAGTGGTGGTAGAAGGCTATTCTGGGAGATGAATGAAATCTGGCTGACCTCTAGATGACAGAGCCTGGTGGTGGTGTATTAAGCTATAGTAATATATTAAAACAGAGCTGGGCAACTCCAGATGTTTTGCTGTAGCACTCCCATAATCTTCCATCCTTGGCTAGGCTGGCCAAGGATGATGGGAATTGTAAACCACAAGTTGCCCACCCTAGTATTAAAGGATTTGATAATGGTGGCAACATGCTGATACTGGCACCAATTGGTTGAGTTGCCTCCAGTTTTTATGGAATATGCTCTTGGGCCAGGCTCCATTTGCTGCCATTCCACCTGCAGTCACTATTTATTTATTTATGACATTTTCATGCCACACCCATTGCAGAAGCTTCGGGATGGCTTACAAAGAGAATAAATAAACATAGAATAACATTAAGAATTCGGAGTATCTCGACCATAATTTAAAAACCAATAAATAAAAACAACCATAGTCAGTGCTCCTCTGAGAGCTTTGTGATTGTGTAGCATGGAGTCATACAGATCAACTGTAAGGACAGCTGAAGCCAGATTATCTTTATCTACATTCTTACAGCATTGAAGGAAGAGTCACACAAACTTTGATCTCTTCAAAGAGTGGTTGAAGAGTGGCCTTGAAGCAAAGGAGTCAGTTTTCTCTGAAAGACTGCAAATCTCCCCACCAGTTCCTGTCAGTGGGCAGTGTCCTTAACTCCTGGATCTGGCAGCAGCTGCATAGGACTGGCTGACTGTGGGCCGGAAGTTTGCAGCTTGCAGTTTCAAGAGACCACCACAAGCTCAGTGATTATATGAATTAATCCATAATTCCTGTCAGTGCTCCAAAGAGTTCACAAGTCATGGTGTCTTAATTGATGAAGGATGTGGTCATGAAAGGAAGCACTCAGCTGTCATTCCCCCTGTCTCTAGGGCATTCATTCACACAGTCAACTTAGCATGTTGGTGAAATGAATGGTGTGTGATTGCTTCTTCATTGCCCACCAGCCCTGGATCTTCAAGTCTTAAGCTGATGCATTCCCCCAGCCATGCTCAAAGGAAACTGAGCCTTTTTCTTTTCTTTTCTTGTTTGTTGTCCTATATTCTTCTGAATTCTCAGGGTTGATAAGGAAAAAAATAACTGTATGAGCCGTAAAAGCAAACAGCAGGCTAACAGATTTGAAACACTAAATAAAGCACATTCGATGAAATATAGCAGATAAAAGAATGCACCAGGCTGGGTAAATAAAAAAAGGAGTTTGCCTGTTTGCAGAACAGCATCCCAGGGGACACTGGACTAGTCTTCCTGGGGAGAGTGTTCAAGGACATGGAACTAGGGGGAGAAAGGTTTGCTCCCCAGTCATCACCTGTCTTACCTCATCCAGAGGAAAGCCTTTGGTTACTCAGTGATTAGGAGGGCTGATGAAGGCAGCCCAAGAAGCACCCGGGTTCCAAGCTGTTGAGGGCTTTATAGGGAAGCACCAGTACTTAGAAATGAGTATGGAAACTGGTCAAGAGTCAGTGGAGTTGTTTTCAGCACTGGTGGGGTATTGTCCCAACACCTGGGCCAAGTTAGCAGCAACAAACCTTTCCAGGCAGTCTTCAAGAACTGTAAGCCCCATTTACAATGGCCTCAGAGTTCCCAGAGCCCAGTAGCCATTGCTGTGTCGTGTCTGTCCACAAGGGCCATGGCTTGCCCACTGGCTTCAGCTCTGAGTCAGTGAGACCATTTTTCCTATCAGTATCAAAGATGAATACAATTATCCCTAGGCTATGAACATGATCCTTTGGGGAGAGCTCTTGAACTGATTGAAAATTGCCTCTTGAAAAGATGAACCCACTTCTGGCTTATTAGGGCTGAACTGAAGCACTGAGCATTGGAATATATGTGTAACAGCAGCCCTTGCCCCAAAGCATCTTCATCTGTGTTATGAGAAGAACAGCATATATAATAGGTTTGGTGTCCTCCCTTCCACTGGTAATTTTCCATGTTTGACTTTTCCAAGGGGTATATTTGGGTTTGTTTCCCCCCTTCTGTACAAGGGAACATTCTGTTTCTGTTGTCTGTCAGATTTTCCCCAGAAGTCCTGGCCTTTGTAATTTAATACGATAGAATGCTTGCATAACATTTGATTATTAAAATAAAAGCCATGGGTATGTATTAGCTTTTGGATGTGTACTTCACTAAAGAGCCGTCTGGAACAAGTCCCTATTAGGGCTGATAGGCTTTGCTGCCCTCTGTTTAAGGATGCTGCATGGTGAGAAGATGGGTGTTGGTCAACAGGCTGTCCTCATATTGGCTCTTGGGGTTTTGAAGTCATTTGAATTGTGTTTGTTTCATTTAGTTCATTTGCAAAACAAAGGCTTTCCATTTAAAATGCAAGTTAGCTAATGAAATCACATCAGAAAGGCCAGACATCTCATTTGTTTCAGTTTGGCTGGATTAAAAGGGGTGTGTCAGGGCCCCAGGGCAGCTTTATCTAAACCTAGATCTGGAGGCTCCTTAGTTTAATTTTGATTTGTTGTGAGGTAGGTGTGAGACACAGGAGGAAGATAAAATTGGTTCACAGGCCACTGGTCGCCCTTCCCTGCAGAGTTGGCAAGACTAACTAACATTTGAAATTATGTCTACAATTTAGGTAACAGAGAATGACAAAACAGATATACAGGAGAGGAAAGAAAATGGGAGATGGAGGGGAGCAATTACCTAGGTAAGCTGGACTCTGAGGAGCTTTTAAGAATTGGTATGAAATTGTCAGTGTAGGTAGCATCAAAAGATGTGTAGTATCTAGTCTCTGAAGAGTTCTAGTACTACTTGATTCAAAAGTAGAGTAAGTCTCATTCAGAGTTATGCATTGGGTTATGGAACCCACAGACTAGATTTTAGTCAAGATGGGGATTATGATGAGGAAGTCAGACAAGGAGAGTTTTGTATTTGAATTTCTTGAGGCCAGGCTAGAGGAACTGGGTCTGATTAATAAGGTTTGCAGTGAAGGGATATTTGGAAATACTCAGGTAGGAGTAATTCAGTTATTTGCTCCCCTTATGGATCAAACAATGAAGTAACAGTTTTAAACTAGACAGGTCTCCTAGTTTGAAAGAGCCTATTGGCAAATTTAATAGTCATGCCCCATATTCCACAGGACTGGAAGAAGTGTAGTTCTGTGAAGAAGGCTAGGCCGCTCCAGTGGTGGGTTGCCAGCATTCCACCAGGTTTTGGTTCCCCATATTCTTACGAACAAACGGTAGCAATTAGAGTGGTCTAGTAGTCTTGCATAGTAGTTACCTGCTTTCTGTGTCAGCAGAGAGACAGGATGGATTCTTGCCACATCTGAAGTGAGGCTGCTTTCTGCAGTATGAGTTATTGTGGGGCAGCAAGCTACAGTGACAACCTGTGATTCATTCTAGAGATTGTATGATCCATGATGGATTGTCATGTTCAAATCCAGGGGACCAATTCCAACAGCTAGTGAACTGCATGGTGGAAGAGGCAAAACCTTTCAAAACCTCTGCTCTGCTTTGATGAGCTTACCTGGGCCATGGCAATTAATAGCCCCTCCACCAATTCCCAAGTGGCACTTTAGAGTAATCATCTCTGGTGTCCCCAACACAGACACAAAGAGGGAGAGAGATGTGTAGAAATGTCTTCATAAATTTTTTGGAGGATCAGTCTTTCAGAGGTGCACAAATATACATTTACAGTCATCTAATATAGGAAGTCTTGTCTAGTTAATACCCTTATCAGTTTCAGCTGTTAAAGGGAGCAAAGGGGGTGGTAATAGAGATGGCAATTGACAAGACCTAACCATGCATTGGTAAAGGTTAAAAATGTGTGTTTTGTGCACATTTGCCAAACTGTTAATTGAAAAGCATTGGTAAAGGTTAAAAAGTACCCCTTTAGCAATGTAATCCTCAGAATTTCAGGTGTTGAGCTTGACATTTTCAACACTTTCTAGAGTCTCCAGCTGCACCAGAAAGGAGAGAGATTAGCTCCTCCATTTTCACAGCTGCTTTTTGGAGCACTTACTGCTGTGGTTACTGTAGCTCCCTGACAATTACATATAAACAAATCCTGAAAAGGCAGCTGAGTGGGATGAACTGAATGGGTCATGTGGGAATGGGTGGATGTAAGCACCATTGATGCTGGCACCCAATTTTCTCTGTCCTATTCTGCTGCCTCCTAATAATTTTTTAACTGTCTGGAAAACTTGGATATTTTTCATTGGGAAATATATGCACATTTCACGGCTGAGAAGTAAATGGAGGGGAAATTGTATTTAACAGAAACTTGATCTGCAGACATTAGTAGCCAATAGTGATGTTTATCTTCATGGTGTGAGGAGGAGTAGCTTCATCTATTGATTTCTGCACATCAGGATGCCTCTGCAGGTACCTGAACAGGCCATGCTGTTGTATTGCTTTAGCCAAGGTGAAGGCAAGGTTTCAAGGAAGGACAAACAGAGGACACAGTGTAGCAGGTGATGGAACAAATCCCTGGAGAGCCACTGCCAGTCAGAGCAGACAGCCCTGGGCCTGATGAACAAACAGTCTGACCTGGTACAAGACAGCTTCTGATGTTCCTATGCAAGCAGATGTAGGGGAAATTGCCTGTTGTGTCAGCAGGAGGAATTATTTTTAAACAAAGGAGCCCTGCCAGGTACATAGTTACATAAATGTTTTCTGCAATTGCAATGCAGCAGAGCTCCATGTACAGATCATATCCAAATCTTCTACAAACAAAACACAGACACACATATGTCCATCTAGCCCCAGAGGCCTAGATTTATAAGCAAAACAGAATTGGCTTGAAATCAATGAAGAGTATTTCCTGTGTGCTTCCTATTCTTCCCATGGAAGATTGAAATAAATATACTTAGTGAAACAGGAACATTGTGGGTGTTCAGCTTGTGAAAATAACTGTACAGTTTACAGTTCATACAAATACAGTAGAAGACAGAGGCATCTTTCCTTAATCTTAAAAAAATCAAAGGTATGGCATATGTTCCCATCCCATTGAGTCGGGTTTTTTTGTTGCTTTTTGGGAACCACAACTCTTACCTCATGGTTTGGTTTTCCTATGGAAAGGAATGCCCACCCATCTCTCTGCACCTCTTTGATTCATTAGTGGAAACAGCCCCCAAGCTATGCTTTCTCTGCCTAGCTGAGGAGGGTATGAAGAGTCAAGGCAAGGGGATCTTGCCAGGTGTGGCCTGAGGCAGGCCTTTCCATAGTCCTTCCCTCAGCCACAAGTCAGAATTTTAGCTGGTCATGCAGTGAGTTGTGAGTCTCAACAGAACGCTGCAGTTGCACTTCCTCATCTAAACAGCCCCATGCCCTCTTTTGGACATACTAAGCTTTTATGGATACGATTTAATATAGCATTTCTTATATGCAAAGTCTTTTGCCTTGTATGCATTCACAGCTGTTGCTCAAAGAAAGTCATCTGCAGATGGGAAAGTGGAGCTGAACACTCGTGACTTAATCTAGTTCAGACATTGCTACAGTGATTGAAATCAGGCCCAAGTTTAGCATGCCATGTACTGTTTGACATCAGCTTCTTGTAACTATCTATGAACTTCAAAGGTACCCACATATAGGATAAATTAAGAATATCCCAGATTCAGTGTTGAATTTGTCTTGTATTGTGCTGCTGCCAGTCCTAATTAAATTGAGGTGGTGTAGAAAAAGGTAATTGTGATGTCAGTAGGACTCTTATGCTGTCTACGTTATTGCGCCTGGTGTGGTTTTTGTTTATTTACTTTATCTTGCACGTATTTGCATCTTCCTAATGGACTGCTTTGCCCTTACTTGAAGAAAAGCTGTCTTTCTGGCACCAGGTGATTGCTTTCTTTTGCAATCATTGGACTGTAAGATGTTTAGCTTGGCCAAAGGGAAAAGCTTCTGACAGGGCAAACCTCTACAATTTCATTTTCTCTTATTTCAATTTCCCAGGTGGTAGTTCAGCCAAGCAAACAACCTGGGAAGGGGGACACCGTGTTCCCATGCTGGCCTATTGGGTGGGGAAGATCCCAGCAAATGTGACCAGTCCTGTGATGTTGAGGTAGGAAAACAAGATGCTTGCTGTGTGGGCAGTTTTTCTAGTACCTTTTATGATCCACCCAAAGAGGAGCATCGAAGAATAAATCTAGGAGTATTGTGAAATAATAGTGCAACTATTGCTTTGGGAATAATTGAATTGCTCTTGTGAGCACCCAAACTGCCAAGAACATGCATTTCTGAAAAGGGATAACCTTTTCCTTTCCAAGTGATAAACAGATCTTCAAAAGAAGCTGTCCTTGAGTTAACCAGTAATGACCTCTGTTAAATGTCTATATTATGCAATGCTTCACAACCTTATCCCCTTTCTCAGATCTGTCTTGAAACTTTAGCAAGTAATGGTTTAGAAGAAAGGCTTTTTGCAAACCATGTGGAACTCTAGGTGAAAGGGTTCAGTGAAGCTGACCACTAAGTCAGTTTCAGAGATTAATGTTTTTCTGAATAAGATTAATTTTGAAAGGGAACTAAGGTCACTTTGAGGATATTTGCTCCCAGAAAGGTTGCACAATACTTCACTAATTAGGATTGGAGTAAAATTATATTCTATTAATAACCTTATTATGGAATTGTTTGGGTAACAGAAACAATTATGCACATAATCAAAAACTTGCATCAAACTTTTCCATTAAGCCAGATGGTCTACTGGGGGACATTTCCCCAGAAGTAGTCAAGTGCATGTTTATATTTTACAGTTTCCACACTGTGTTGCGTGAACCTAGTCTTGGCTAAGAGGTTTAGCAGTGAACTAGAAATCTCTGGTTCAAATCTCACCTCAGTCTTTAACTTACTGGGTGGATTTTAGGAAGCCTTCCATCTCTTTTGTTCAATTTCCCGCATATGTATGATTAGATGTGGATCTTCCCTTACGGTGTTGACAGGACTGCTGAGATTATGGTTGGGTTCAGGCATCAACTTAAACTACAGTTTAATAAGATAGAATAAGCCTATTCTTCACCTGGGCTCATATATTCCCACTCCCTTCCTACCACACTTCCAGGAGGATAAGTTCTGGCACTTTCAGATTTTTTAGTAGTCTTTATTTTTGCATTTCAAAAATATTAGGAAAGTATAGTATATAAGGCACATAATGTAGATTCTAATTTTCCAGGCGGGAAACACAACAGTGAAGTTCTTGTGATGGGTTTTGGATAGTTGTATTTGTTGAGCATTGTTGTCTATTCTTATCCAAATGAAAAGTTCCAGAGAGAGACCCGAGTTTCTGGTGGTTTCCCTTCTAATGTACTGAATAAACATATATCACGTTACCTCAAAATCATCTCTGGCTTTCATGTTTTTCAGAACTTTAAGCTGTTTTGATAACTTTTCCATGAGGGTAATGTTCCAGACTGTTTCTAGCCAAGTCTCTGGTTTTAAATTAGTAACTGATTTTCAGTGCTGTGATACAACTTGTCCAGCTGCAGTCATAAAGAGGATTAATATCTCTTCAAACATCAGGCCTTTTAAATGGTCGCAGAACATGTTTAGACACAAAGCTAGTTTGGGACCACAAAGCAATGTTTGACTTTTAATAATAGATACATTGTTCACAATTAATACCTAGAAGAATGAACATTATCTTAGTTCCTACACATGGAAATTAGATCCTATGCAACATCCTCTCCATGAAAATGGACTAAATAGAGGCTTTATTCTATAACATTTTATAGGCATCTGACATCATCTATCTACTTTGTAAAAATGCTTGGTTTTTGCTGATAACAATTGAAATGGCTGTTTTCCCCAATATGACATTTGTATTTCACAATTCAGGTCTGTTTCCCATAATAGTGTTAAGGTGTTCAGATCTTTAGTCGTTGAGTTGCATGGCACTTTATAGATGTTGAGTAGTAATTTCATAGAGGAATATATCATATTTAACATTAGCTGTTCTGTGGGATTTAGGGGACTGATAGTATGAGATAAAACTGAGGGATTAGATGTAAAACAGATCACTTGATTCATTTTACTAGTCAACTTTAACCTTCCCTAATTTTTCTTTCAGTTGTATTCCTGGATTACTGCTTATACCTTTATGTAGTTTTCTAAGCATGTAGATGTCTTTCTGTTTCTAGCTCTTAAATTGTTACTCTTTTGTTTTGTTATAAAACAGGGTGATGGCAAAAGGAGATGAAAATGGATAGGAGGTAAAATGGTTGTGCCACTATTAGTAATTTCAAATAGTGCAAATCTGTAAGAATTCAGAATATTTTTTTAAGTACAATTGGTTGGGCCACCTGGAATGGAAATACTACTTCATGATTTGTATTAAAAGAGTCTAGTTCTATGGAGATCCAGGTGTTTTGTGAAGCATATTTCATTATTAAACAAACTGGATGGACTGGAATGGATGAGAGCCAACCAAATGAAACTTAATCTAGACAAGACAGAAGTGCTATGGATAGGTGGAACCTTTGTCCAGAAGGAGGATATCTGCCCTGTCCTGGATGGGGTTGCATCCCCCTACAGGACAGAGTGCAGAGTTTGGGGGTGCTGCTGGACCCAGAATTGTCCCTGGAATACCAAGTAGTGCCTGTGGGGAGGAGCACCTTTTATCAGCTACAGATGATACATCAGGTGCACCCCTATCTGGACCAGCAGCATCTAGCAGTGGTGATCCATGCACTGGTAATCTCCAGTTTAGATTACTGCAATGGGCTATAAGTGGGGCTGCCCTTGAAAACAGTCCAGAAATTTTAGTTAGTGCAGATGAATGCCACCTGTCTGTTGACTGGGACAGGCCAATATGAAACCCTGTTCTGTATCGATTATACTGGCTACCACTTGAAGTCTGGGATTGCTTCAAGATGCTCATATTACCGTATAAAGCCATAAGAGAATAACTAGGTGCTAGGGATTGGAACTCCTTTTAAGTTATTTAAGTTTTTTTTTAAATATACGACTCCCTCAGCATATTCCTCTCTGGACAGTTTACAAAAAGCTAAACATTAAATCAGCATAATAATAACTGAAAACCTATACAAGGATACAAGCAGAAGGAGCTGAACAACAATAACGCAGGATAATAACATAAAAAACACTGTAACCAATCAGAATAATAAAAATCAATTTAAAAGTACATCCTTAATCAACGATTACAATAAAGGGAGAATAAAAAGATTTTGACCTGGCGCTGAAATGTATAAAAGGTTGGCACCAGGTGCAGCTCTCTAGAAAGTTAATTCCATAAATGGAGTGCCACTACCTAAAAGGCCCCCTCATAGCCATCTTCCTTGCTTCCTTTAAAGGTTGCTCTTGGAGAAGGACCTCCATTGAAGATCTTAGGGTCTGGGCAGGTATATAAAGGAAGAGGCATTCCTTAACTGGTCCTAAGCCTGGATATCTCAGGGAACACAGCTCATTTAACTTAAAAGGCATTTGTATTCAATTCTTTAAAACAAAACTGGGATGTAAAACCATCTAGTCTTTGAACTTTGGGTGTTTAAACTTTCTAGAGTGCATGTAGCAAGTGAAACATAAATAGGTCGAGCCATTCTGTTTACGGGATAGTGTAGGATTTTCTGAAAATACTCCATGTTATTCAACGTTGCTGAAGTTATACACCATATACCTCATACACCATTGTCCTTGCTGTTTCTTGACTTCAGTTGCTTCTCTATGATTTCCTCTGCCAGTATAGAGATAATTACATGCTTGCTGTGAATTACTCTGATCGCTGTTATCTTCCTTTCTCTCTCCTCCTCTTTCTCAGTCTAGATTCAGGTTGGTGAGAGTTTTCTTTGCTTCTTTGTGGGTAGAACCAATTAACTGCAGTCCCGTCTTTAATTACTGTCAACTTGAGGGGGGGTCCCCATAAGCCATGTGTGTCAGCATTTGAAGCTTTTCAGTATGTTTTTTAATCATGCCTTTTCGTAGGGTTTTTGTTACTTAGAGCTTGATGAACCACTTTTTTATCCCTCCCATTACAGATCACAGTTAGCATTGGCCATGCACATCACACTGCCTTTCAGATGGAAGTACTGAAATTTAATTATAATATTCCTGGGATGCTGCCATTGCCTGGGGCGAATGCACAATGAACACTATCCGTATCTTTGAGTTCTTTATTAAGTTCAGTAAAACATTAATTAGCCCCATTTAAGAAGATGTAGAAATCAGATCCAGCCTACCTTTCAATTCAGGGATTCCCTCTCACCCTTATTGAATTCTGACAATTAAGACCAGTCCATTCTTTTTTTACAGTTGTGGATTTTAAAGGTTTTCCTTTAAATCCTTCCTGGGTTGTGAACAGCAGTAATAAATATAGTAAAGTACAACATAGCATAGACAACAATAAAACATAAAATTACATTAAAAATAAAACTCCATGTAAAATTGTATTTTTACAACTAAACAGCTAAAATGCATCCATATTGCTAAGCTTGCAGAAAAAACAGATGTTTTGTGCTCAAGACCTAAATGAAGGCTTCATTAGCGGTTTTAAAAGTTTTGATGATTGTTGTTGGGAGACTTCTCATCATGGCCTTTATTATATTGACAATGGCTTAGCATTCTTCATTTTTTTTAATTGGTGCATCAGTTTTCTCATTACATCTAAATTATCCTTGAATATTTGGGGCAACACACATTTTACTCTATGGATGTTTCCTTGCTGTGCCAGCCTGAGATTTATTGGGTCCAATATCTGAGGAGCAAAGTAGACTATAAGCATATTTTTCTTTAACCCAGGTGCGGCTCTGGATAATTACTTACCTTATCCTAAGAATATATTTTTCTTTGCTGATTTAAGGTAGTTACATCTGGGGAAAGGAGGTAGCAATGTTAGCAGAAACAGACATTCTGTACCACCATCTTGAAAGATTATGTCATTCCCTCCTACCTCCCTGTATTTCCAATTTTGATTAAGCATAGTTGGCTGCAAATTAGGGCTGCAGTGAAGCTCCACAGAATCTGTCCCTCTATCATTTGTGGGCTTCCTCTCATCTTCAGCCCTTTCTTGGAAAGTGAACTGAGCTGAGAGGAAGTCCATGAACGTTCATTGAATGG